ACAGTTAGGAAGAGGCAGACTCAGGGTCCTGCCCCTGCCTCCAGGCTGTGGGGGGCGGGGGGGAGTGGCCGGCTGCCTGGCTAATGCCACAGCAAAGGACTTGCTCCTGACCACCTCTGCTCTCATCGCCCTCACCTGCCCCTGGCTCCACTCGAGCCCCTCATCCTAGAGGCAGCCCCCTCCCCTCGGGGCTGCTCAGCAGCTAGCAGGACGTGCCCCTGCTCCAGCGGCAGCCCGCCCTGCACAGAGCCAGGGCCCATCTCGGTGAATCCGTCACTCCCAGCCCTCTGCTGGACGCTGGCCTGAGACCAGAGGGCCTTGTCCACAGTCCCTGGGGGACAATCAGGGGCTTCTTGTCTAAGGAATGAACCCTTCTCCTGCGAATGCCCTGCAGGGCACTGGCCTAGGCAGAGCAAGGAGAGTTTCCAGACTTGCAGCTTGGCCCACCCCTCCTGGCGTCTTGCCTGTGTCCTGAGGCCTCGATCAGAGTAGAATTTTCCACCGAAAAAGTCAGCACCTGAAACGCCCCTGCCCAGCTCCTCTGTGCTCATGGTCGCTCAGGGCCTCCCTGGCCAACCCCTCGGGGCACCAGGGCAGGCAGCTGAGGGCCACGACGCCGGCCCAGAGGGTTTCCCACTTTGGGGTGAAAGCAGGGCCCACCCCACAGGGCACTCCGAGCACCGGTGGCCTCAGCGCCCTGCTCCTGCTGCCCGCGTCGCCCCTGCGCAGTGCACAGCGCGGCTTATTTAGACACTGTGTGTTTCCGCCGCACCCCCGCCCCGTCTGCAGCCTCTTCCCCTCCAGGCGGAAGGGCCGGTGTGGGAGCACAGTGGTCAGACTGGACGGTGACAAGGAGGGTGGGGGAGGCCTGTGGACCCGGAATGAATTAATCCACGGCCTGAGGGTCTTGACCAGGGAAGGGCTTGGGCTGTTTGGAGAGTAAGAAGGGGCCCTGTGCCTGCCCAGGCCGTCACCGGGGTGTGCCAGGCACCTACGGCGCATGGCTCCCTGATCCACAGTGCTGCCTCCACCTGCGTTCTGGAAGCAGAGACTGGCCCGAGCCTGGCCGTGCGGCCCCGGGCAGTCCCCCAGCCTCCCAGTCCCGCACCCCCACCTGCAGAAGGAGACAGCGCGGCGTACCTCGTGCGGTGAGGATTAAGCGAGTCTCCGAAGAGGTCCGCGTTGCCCGGAGTTGGCCCTCTGGTATCGGCTAGTGGAAACCGCCCCACATAGTAAGGGAGACGATGTCGACATTATTTCTGAGTTGTCAGCCACATCCGGATATCTGCACATCAGCGTTCCCTGCTGCCTTTGCGTCGCCTCCACCCGTGCACTCGGGAGCGTGGCCGGGGCCCAGTGCCTGCCCCATCAGCCCCACACGTCCCGGTGAGCATACAGGACCACGGCCCTCTAGTCCCCTTCCTCCAGGACCTACAGTACACCGAGCGGTGTGGGGCAGTCCTGTGTGTAGATGTAATTATGCAATATTGTGGTTAAAATACATATAAAATTTCCCACTTTAACCATTTTATAGCATACGGTTCAGTGGCATTTAGCCCATTCACAATGCTGTGTGACTGCCACCTGTCTAGTTCCGTGACTCGTTCTTCGCTGGAAATTCCACCCCTGCTGGGCGGTCACTCCCTGCCCCTCCCCCCAGCTCCTGCGGCCCCTGTTCCGTTTTCTGCTCTGTGGCTTTGCCTGTTCTGGAGAGTTCGCACGAATGGAATCATGCGCTGCGTGGTGGTGGTGTCTGGCGCCTTTCACTGAGCACAGCGCTTTTGACGTTCCTGCGCGTGGCAGCGGGAATCAGGGCTTCCTCCCTTTCTGTGGCCAAATAATACTCCGTTTGTGCTAGCCTGCACCTGGCTTATGTGTTCATCTGTCGATGGACACTGGGGTTTGTTTCTATCCCTCGATTATTATGAATATTCGCGTACGAGTTCTTGTTCAAACACCCGTCTTCAGTTGCTTTGGATATACACCCAGGGCTGAACCTGCCGGGTAACTCTGAGTTTGACTCAGCGAAGAACTGCTGAGCTGTTGTCCACGGTGGCTGCACCATTTTAATTCCCTGCCAGCAGTGTACGCGGGTTCCAGTTTCTCCACGTCCTCAACGCTTGTTGCTTTCTGCTGTCGTCGTTTTTATCATAGCCGTCCTGCAGGTGTGAAGCAGCCTCTCGTTGTGGTTTTGAGCTGCATTCTCCTCGTGGGCGGTGACCTTGAGCACCCTCCACGAGCTCGTTGGCCATCTGCGCATCTGCTTTGGAGAAGCGTCTATACAAAGTCCTTTGCCCGCTTTAAAATCGGGTTGTTCGTCTTTTTGGTGCTGAGTTGCAGGAGTTCTTTCACCCTGACTCTTGAGCACTGGCTCTTTCGTTTTCTCATTCATCCTTTCCTCAGACACTCGGGATGGCCGCCCCACGCAGCCCCGGGGGCCCGATTGAGCTCAGACGTGGCGCTGTCCGGTGGGGAAGCCGGGTGGAAACGTAACTGTGGGACCTTGGGATGGGTTCTGCTGCAAAGCGAGCGCCCACTGTGTGCCTCCTCCGTGCCGGGGCCGAGGGGTTTGAGCACAGTGGGCTTTCGCTTGGGCTTGGCAGGCAGGTGGAGGATGCCAGCTGAAGGGGGGACCTGCGGGCGCCAGGAAGGGGAGGGGTCGTCGGAGGCCAGGAGGCCTCTAATTCTAGGCAGAGGAGCTTGCGTCGTCTCACGGGCAATGGGGAGCTGTGGATCAGATCGGGCTGCCAGTGGGGCTGGTGTTGGGGGTCTGTCTGTCTGGAGGTGAGAAACCAGGGCTGTGGCCGGCGCCACAATCTACTCCTGCCCCTAGGATCTGTCCTAAGTCACACGAGTCCCAGTGAGGCCCAGTTTGTTAGGCTCCTGCCCCCAGCAGGGGCTCCGACTGTGGGCAGTTGGGGCTTGGCAGCCCCGAGCCCGCTGGAAGAATCTGGGCCTGGGGAGCGTCCTTCAGGTCCAGGACCCACAGGGCTCTGCCCTCTGTGGAGGCTGGTGGCCCGCAGGGTTCCCATCCATCTCATTTCCCCAGCTCGGTTTTCCGAGGATCTACAATTACTCTGGGCTGAATTCCCCAGATTCCAGCCCGCTCCCGGCCCCACCCGTCCAGATGCTCTTCCTCAACGCCAGCCCGGGGTGTTTCTGCCCATTGTGCCCGTGGGAGACCCAGGGAGGTCTTGGCCAGATTAGCGGGCGGGCCGGGCGGGCCGTAGGGATTGAGTGTCGGCCGGGGCGCCCGGCGACAGCACGTGCTGCGGGCTCAGGCCACACGGGGACTTTCCAGCTGGCTTTGGGTGCTCGGCTGCCCTGGAAAAACACTGGCCTGTTTCTCTTGAGAAAGGGGCTGGCAGGCCGTGGGTAGAGGGAGGGCCACACCGCACTAGGGGCCCAGAGCCTCGAGCGTCAGCTTTTGGGAGCCCCTGCTGGCCCCTGCTCCCACGTTTGCCCCCTCCCCAAGCAGGCCTGGTCTGCCGTTTTGAACCCAAATGCTGCCTGAGGTTTGCCTGAAAGCGGCCCTCCCCTCCTTCCAGCTTGCTGTCCCTTCTGTGGGTGCTTCTAGCCAGACAATTGGTGCGGCTACTTTGGAGAGCAGTTGGCAACTCCTCAAAAAGTTAAAGAATCACTGTATGACCCAGCAGTTCCACCCCAGGTCTATGCCGAAAAGATTGAAAACAGGTCCTCAAACAAAAACCTGTGCATGTGTGCGCACAGCCGCGTGACTCCCAGCAGCCACAATAGCCTAGATGTCCACAAGCGATGAATGGCTGAACGCAATGTTTCTGTCCACACAATGGAATATTATCCAGCCATAAAAAGGAATGAAGCACCGACATGAGCCACATCACGGTGACCCTTGAAAGCATTCTGCTGCACGAAGGAAGCCAGACACAGAAGGTCACGTATTGTCTGGGTCCTTCCACATGACGTGTCTAGAATAAGCAAATCCATAGGAACGGGAAGCAGATTGGTGGTTGCCAGGGCTGGGGCAGGGGAAGAACGGGGAGTGGCTCTAACACGGACAGAGTTTCCTTTTGGGGTGGTGAAAATATCTTGGAACTTGAGGTGGAGGTTGCACAACACTGAGATGCTGATGCCACGGAACAGCGCACTTTAAAACGGCTATTGTATGTTACGTGAATTTCACCTCATTAAACAAACAAACAAACAATCTCGCTGTAACACCTCAAGTCGAGGGTGAGCTTGGCATGTGGCTTCCTGGCTGGAAGTTGCCAGGGGATTATGAAGGAGGCACCCTCAGGGGACCGAGGGGGATGGACAGTTATCTATGGCGCCCAGCACACTGTGGGTGCTGTTTCATCCTCTGAGTGCGCCCCGTCACCCTGAAAGGAGTGAAAGCCGCACAGCCGTCCCTTAGCGTGCAGCCTTCCTCCCCATGGTCATCTGAGCCTGTGCGGTGGGGGGGACAGCAGGTGTCTTATGCCCATTTCATGGATGTGGAAACTGAGGCTTACGGGGGAGCGCCTTCCCCAGGTCACACGGGGCTAGAGCTGGAGTCAGCACCGGTGGGCTTGGCTCCCAGCCTGCCGGGCCTGGGTGCCATGGGGAGGGGGTGTCAGAGGACCTGCGGGTGATGGGAGACCTGGTCGCTTGGGAGATGGGGGTTGCTGCTCGGAGACAGCTGTGGACCGGGATCGATGGCTGTCGGGTCTCAGGTGATGCTCTCTGCCCTGAAGGGTCTGCGTGTCTGACTCAGAGGCTTGGGAACTGTGGTTCCTGCATCTGCGGGACTTGCGGTGCCGTGGTTCTTGCGACCCGCGGCTGAGGGAGTCGGGTGTGTGCCTTCTCCCACCCGGACCATGAGTGCGGTTGATGGAAAGTGGCCCCGTGAGGGCGGGGATCGGAGTGTTCCCTGCTGGGCAGAGCTTGGTTTGAGGCTGGGGGCTGAGAGGCTGAGCTGGGGGGGGGGAGGGTGCCGCGCCACCCGGTCTCACGGCCTGTGTCTCCTCTCCCTGCCTCCGCAGAGCGCTGTCGTCCGTGGTGGCCCTGGGAGCCAACATCATCTGCAACAAGATCCCTGGCTTGGCCCCGCGGCAGCGCGCCATCTGCCAGAGCCGGCCCGATGCCATCATTGTGGTCGGGGAGGGGGCGCAGATGGGCATCAACGAGTGCCAGCACCAGTTCCGCTTCGGGCGCTGGAACTGCTCCGCCCTCGGCGAGAGGACCGTCTTCGGGCAAGAGCTCCGAGTAGGTAAGGGCGCCTCTGGGCCACTGGGGCCAGGGCCTGGGCCGGGACACCTGCCTGCCGACTGACGGCCTCCCAGTGGCCAATTTCTTTGCCCTCAGCAGCCCTCCCCCAGCCCTTCGCACGCCCGGCCCAGCCCTCAGGGACACTGTGCGTCTGGGGCAGAGGGGGCCACGGCAGGAGCCAGCCGCGTGCACCACGAGGATCCTTGCTCTGGGCCGTGGGGCCAGGCCGGGCCTGACGTGGACCTGACACTGCAGGCTGGTGGCGGGGCAGTGACGTGCAGGGTGAGGGACACGCCCCAGTCTGCTCAGCGGCTGTGTAGACTCAGGCATGTTGCTTCGTCTCTGTGCCTCTGTTCCGTACCTGGGAAATAGGAATAAAAGTAGTATTTCCTGCACGAGGTTGTTGGGGGCTCGATGAGAACGGTGCCTGGCCCCCAGGAAGTGCTACGTGGCGGTTGTCTCGCTTCCGTGAGGGGAACGTCTTCCAAGCAGCGGGGACAGCATGACACATGGTGCTTCGGTGAATCCGACGGCTGGAGGGCAGGGTGGGCGCCACTGTGGGTCGGGCTGGGGAAGGGCTGGGCACCCCACCGCCTCCAAAACATGTCATGTGGGGGTGGCAGGAACCCTGCTGACTGTGCACAGTCCTAGGGGCCACTCACCTGCCTCTCTGTCCTCACAACCCTGGGGATAGACCTCATGGTGCCCATTTTACAGCTTAGGGGACCAATGCCCAGAGAAGAGCTTAAATAAAAAAGTGTGTTTGGGCGGGCCACGATGGCTCCTCCTTGTAATCTCAACACTTTGGGAGGCCAAAGCAAGAGGATCGCTTGAAGCCAGGAGTTTGAGACCAGCCTGGGCAACATAGTGAGACCCTGTCTCTACAAAAAATAAGAAAAATTAACTGGGCTCAGTAGTGTGCACCTGTGGTCCCAGCTATTTGGGAGGCTGAGGTGGGAGGATCACTAGAGCCCAGGAGTTTGAGGCTGCTGTGAGCCGTGGTTGCACTGTTGCCCTCCAGCCTGGGCCACAGAGCAAGAATCTATCTCTTAAAAAAACAAAAAGTGAGTTTTGGAGCCTGACCTGGATCTGAATCCAGCCGTGTGACCTTGGGCACATCCCTTAGGGCTGCACAGGGCCTCAGTTTCCTCATTTGTGACGTGAGCTCTGAGCCAGCAGGTCCTCATCTGGGTCCTGCACGCCTGCATGCAGCGGTGCTCAGTAAACAGCTATGGAATGCACGAGGGTGGGGATAGTGACGAGACCTGCCCTCCAGGCCGTCGTGAGGGTCGGGGAGTGACAGCTTGGGCACAGCGCCAGGCATGCAGGGGTGCCCAGCCCGAGGGCACAACCCGTCCTTCTGATCCACAGGGCAGAGGAGCCTGGGCCCGCTGAACAGGCCGCAGCTGCCGGGACCCGGGCCAGGGCTTGGAACGCTGGCAGGGGTGGCGCAGGGGAAAGCCCCTGGGGGCCCCTTTGTGGTGAGCAGCCTGTGGGTGGCACCGCCCCCTCCCGGGGCCCACCACCCAAGTGCAGCTCCCTCCCGCCAGGTGCCAGCGCGGAGGGCGCGGCCGCCCCATCCACCCTGTGGGCAGGGCACCGGCACGGGTGCCGGCTTTGTGCCAGGCACCCACCTGCCTGCCCGGCCCTCAGCCTGAGACTCTGGGCTCCACGGCCCCGGGGCTTGTGAGGTCTCCCGTGGTCGCTTGGTTTGCACACGATGGGCTGATCCAGGCGTCTGTCGCCCCTGCTGGCAATCTTGGCTGCCTCACCGTGCAGGTCGTCCTGTGCCTGGACACAGGGGTGGGAGCTTGGACTTTATTTGGGACCCCAAGGGTGCGGGTGAGGGACACGGGGGTTCCCTCGCTCCTGAGAACGCAGCATCCGTCTCAGGCTCTGCTTCTAGGGGCCCCCCAGATCCCCGTCAGCATCCCGGAGGCGAGCTTTTCGGCAGTGCTGTCCGCGCCCGCTGACCCTCTGGCACCCGTGATCGCCTCCACGGCTCCCCGTCCAGGCCAGCAGTGGTCTTTGTGTTGCCGGCTATCCCCCCTTCCTTGGCTTCGGGGCCCTGGCTGGCCGCTCGTCCTCAGCCCGGCCCAGCTGGGGAGTGTGGGTTCCTGGGGGTGTGCCCGGGCGCCTCTGTCTCCGGCCTGCCCCGACAGCAGGGGCTCGCTCTGCCCCACCGCTTCGATTCCCACGGGATCCCAGGAACCTCTGGCCTGACACACTCGGCACCTTGCTGCTCCAGTCTCTGTCCCCAGCTTCCTCCAGCCTGACCATGCTGTTGTCTCAGCAGAAGCCTGTGTCACTTCCCCGTCCACCCTCTGCTCCATGTCCACTGCAAGGCCTACTTCTCTGTCCCTCCCCTTGGCAGCTTTCACTGCCTCCTCCCCTACCAGCCCCACTTACTGGGTTAAACAGAAGCTATGCCATATCACTCCCTGCCTCCAAAACCTGCAGTAGCTCCCTATTGCCCCCAGATAAAGTTAACTCCTTAGTCTGGAATCTGAGTAGGCACCTCTCACCCCTGCTTCCCTCCATATCTGGCTTCTCCCTCTTCCCTGAGCACGCAGGGCCCTTCCCACCTCCAAGACTTTGCTCCTGGGAGGCTCCTCCCCTCTGCTTATTCACATCTGATGTCCCCACTGGGGGGATGCTGTTTTCGCCCCTTCCTCAGCTCTCCCTTGTCCATAGCCAGGCCATGGCCACATCCTGGTGCTTCTGGGCCTGCCTCCAGGCTCCCCCTGCGCCCTCCCTCCCGGTGGGTGGGCTCTCTAGAGCCCGGCCTGTGGTCTCGCCGCCCTGCCTGCAGCGCCCGGGCTGAGCTGGGCGGCAGGAATCCCGCAGGCGCTCTGATGGTGGTCTGAGAAGGCACCTTGCTCCTCCAGGCGCTCAGCTGCAGGGAGTCACGAGCAGGAAGTGGGGCCGGGCAGGTGTGCTGGGTGCCCTGGGCACGGGACGGGAGCCGGGCCATGAGCTGGCAGGCAGCCGGGGGCACTGGTGGGAGCAGCCACTCAAGCGGCGCCAATTAATGATTGGCCCTGAGAGGGGGGATGGCCTGAGTGGGTGGGGCAGCCCCTCCAGGCCTCGCCTGTGACCTTGGCCCCGCCTAAATCTTGAGGGCTGAAGGGAAACCCCTTAAAAGGGCAAATCAGCCCCCTGTGCAAAGTTCCAATCCCTCTTCCAGCACCTGGCCAGGTCGCTTGTCTGCCTCCAGGGATGGGGCGCTCACTACTCCCTGTTAGATGGGTGTTGCATATGGGGACCCTGTGCTAGCTGTGCCCTGGGCCTCTGGGTGCCAATTGCTTTGCGGCTTCTCGGGGTCAAGGCCCATACTAGGCCAGCGACATGGTGTCCCTCATGCCTGGTGGCCTCCACTCTATGGCCACCCGAGCCCATCCCTGGCCTGTTTCCTCATGTGTGGAGGAGGGAGTCTTGTGGCCCAGGCCCCTCCTAAGCTGCCTCTGCCATTAACCGGGAGCGAGCTTGTGGGGAGCGCGCTGCCCGGCTCAGCTGTCTTCTGCCATGGGGGGGGACGGGGACACATGAGGTCGGGAGAACCTGTGTTCCAGGAGCGTGTTAGGAACATGGCCCCCCGAGGCCCCCTGAGCAAGGCAGGAAGTTTCTAACCGGCTCCACAATCAAATCAGGACTGTCAGCAAGGGCTTCCCTGGGGGCGTGACCCAGGCCCGCCCGGAGGTGGGTACAGGGACGGCTCCGGGAGGAGGCAACCATCCGCACCAAAGCTCAGGGCCCAGAAAGCCGATGGGATTTTCCAGGAAACACGGGAGCTCCGAGGGCTAACAGGAGGTGGGGAGGCCTGAGGCTGGAGGGGCAGGGTCAGGCTTCTGGAAGGTTCTGAGCAGACCAGGGCCTTCCCTCTGCACGCTGGAGCCCTCTAGCCGCTGCCCACCCCTGCCTCAGCCCAGAGCCCCCTGGGACCCACTGGCACGGGGCTGGGGCTGTGTGTCCTGAGGGGGGGCCCAGCCCCACCCAATCATGACCAGGCTCAGGTGAGCGGCCCGGGACACAGGTGCAGTGCCACCTGCCCACGTTTGCTCTGTGGGTGAGCTGTGCACGGGGAGTGTGCTCACAGACTCAGCAAGGGATCTCGGTCGCCAGCCAGTCCAAGGGGGCGCAGTGACTCACCTGGGGCATCTGAGAGGCGAGGGGCCCGGGGGAGAGAGGGTGACTCCGGGCCTCGCGCACCCTCGGCCCTGCAGAGGGTGTGCACACCGGGCCCGGTTTTCCCCGGGGACAGGGGCTTGAGGGCTGCACTCTGGTGTGTGTGCAAACCGAGGGGTACCGTAAGTGTAAGATGCAGGAGGGATTTTGAAGACTCACCAAAAAAGTAAAACGTCCCTTTAGTAGTCCTTACGCTGATTACATATTGGAGTAAGGTTTTGAATATATTGGCTAAATAAAATATGTTATCAAAATTGAGTTCACCTGGTTATTTTCACTTGCTGTGACTAGTAGAAAATTTCAGATGACACCTGCGGCTGACCTGAGACTTCCGTCGAGTGGTGCTGTACCAGAGGGGACACAGAGAGTGGCCCGAGTCACCTGGTCAGGGCAGGGGGACATTGAACCTGGATTTGACCATCCCTCTGAGGACTGTGTCCTCCAGCACAGGTGGGGCGGTCCAAGGGCAGAGGGCCACCAACCAGCCACTTCCCGGGATAGTCAGTGCAGGGGTGGAGGGCGGCTCCCCTCGTCAGCCGTGTTTGCCATTCAGCCTGCATGCATTGAGCACTTGCTGGATGCCACACCTGGGTGGGCACAGCGTATGGGGCCAGGCGGGGGGGCAGTGCCTTGCGCTGGGCATGCCCGGTGGTCCGCAGGCCCTAGCCTGAGAACTGCCCATCCTCGTCCTCGCAACACCACCATCCCCCACCCCACCCTCATCCCCGGGGCCCAGCTTGAGGCATCCGAGCGGGCGAGTCCTAGGCTCAGGGGCCAGGCAGCCAGGACTCCAGGGACAGTTGGATCCTTGACAGT